AGCCACGGTGCCCCTTTTTGTGTTCCTGGTTTTTGGTACGGCACTGAGGCCTGAACTCAGGTGCTGTACCACTGAGCTACTTCCCCAGCCCTTTTTATTCTGAGATGGGACCTTGTGCTAAGTTGCTCAGGCTGCCCTTGAATCTTCAATGCTCCTGCCTCAGCCTCCGAAGTAACTGGCATTACAGGCATGTACCAGTGCGCCTAGCCACCACTTGTTATAAGGAACTGGACATCCAAGAGACAAAGGGGTGCACTCCAGGCTACACCATGTGTGTGCTGCACACTTGGTGCTCACACTCATGACTGCTCTGCTCTGCCCGTCAAGGGTTCTCCAGAAGGCTCCCTCATGAGGCGGCCTGCAGCTGGGCTGGCTGAGACTGGTGTTCCGCATGGTCCCCTTAGTCCTCAGAGATGCAGGGAGGAAGGTCACCCCTTGCCCTGCCCACATGGGGCCCTCTTATGACGTCTTACCATCCGGGAGGTCTGAGGTCTCCAGGCGAGGCACTTTCCGGGGCCGGCCAGGTCTCCTTCGTGGCCTTGGGGTACTGGGGGTGGGACGCTGGACCCGCAGCTGCCGGCCTCGGGGCTCATCCTCGGCAGGATTGTAGTCACTGTCCTCTGTGGGGACAGGGAAAGAAGAACAGTGGCTGGCCATGCCCTTCCAGTGCTGACTTCTCTCTCACCCAGCTCTGGGAAGAGGCCACTCCCTCATTTCTGCCTGCTTTTCGGAGCCTGCCACAGAGGCCCCTCCCTGCCTGGGAGTGTGCTTCCTTCCACCCTGGATATGGTGGCTCCCTGGTGCTAGGGGTCCGTCTCCATGTGCGCCAGCAGCTCAGTGAGACCAAGGAGGGCGGCCTAGGAACCACGGTGACTCACCCTCCAGGTCGTCAATGGCACCAGCATCCACGATGTCATCCTCCTCCTCCTCTTCTGGCCCTTCTTCCTCCCGGGTCTTGGCTGCTGGGTCCCACTTCCGCTGCCGTTCTTTCTTGTTAGCTCCTGCTGCTGTGGCTGGGCGGGAGCGGGGGTAAACATGCTTGCCAGGTCTGGCTCCAGCGCCCCATCCCACCCCACCCGGGCCATCCCGGCCTAGAGGGGCTGCCGCCCACGAACCGGGGCGGAAGTGCCGCTCCCGCATGTGCCGCAGCAGCGTGGCCTTGGTGCTGCTCCGGTACTGGCACATTTTGCACTTGAACTGCTGCACCACCACCACCTCCATCATGGCTTCCAGGCTCTGCAGGTCCAGGTCCTCGGTGCCAGAGGCTGGGGGCGGCTGTGCCAGGGCGCCGGGCCCACCCTGTGCCTCCTCAGGTGGCTCTAGGCACGTGGACGTAGATGTGGGACCATCAGCCAGGGCCTCGATGGCTGCTAGGCTGTGGCCCAGGGTGGAACTGGACATTGGAGATGTCATGGGGGCACCTGGGGACAGGTGAAAGGATTGGGGAGGTTAAGCAGAAGGCAGGATTAGCCACGAGGTACGGGGCTCTCAGAACCAAAGTTCCTGCCACTCTGCCAAGCAGGGAAACTGAGGCCCAGGGCAGCGGACAGTAACCTGCCAGACCACACAGGGAGCTTGCGGCAGAACCTGTCCTCTCACTCTCTGCCCACTGTAGGGCTCATGGGTCCCGCATGGTGTTCTTACCATCGTCTGGGCCCTGCAGGATCAGGTATTGGGTGGTCTCAGCTCCGCTGTCTTCAGCACTAGTCACGGTGATACAACCTGGGCACAGGCAGGAGGAGGGTCACCCCCCAGGAGGAGGCTTCCACTGTGGGTCCTCACACGAGGGCTTCACTTGGCAAGTGGAGACCAGCTTCGCCCCTGAGCCCTGGACACCCCCCAGCACCCGTGCCCCACAGCCCCATCACCAGGATACCCTGGCTAACCCAGATGCCTCACCTTTCACCAGGAGGCCTGGGAATCCTCCTCCTCCCCTAAACTTCCTTAAACTCATTAGCCAGCCCCTGGTCTCTTAGGTTGCTTTCTAAGACTGCTCTAGTGCTTGGGAAGTGCTTGGGTCTCTGTGCACATCTAACAACAGATAATGATAAGGATCCTTGTGTTTAACTGTTTCTACCACTGACTGCGTGGTCTAATGGACAGGTGCTATGCTAAGAACTTTATTGCACTGTATCATTGAACTGTCATTTTCCACAGCGAGACGGGTTCTATTGTCTCACATGTTTAGCATTAGAAGGTAGTGAGCCTGCATTCACACAGCAGGCAACTCCTGGGGACGACCCTGCCTCCGTCTCCCAACTCACTCTGGATGAGGTCGGGCCCAATGGTGGACTCGATGATCTTGTCGATGGCTGAGCCCAGGTCCGAAGAGGAAGCCGCGCAGTCAGACACCAGCATGTTAGGGTCCGGGAGAGCACTGGAGTGCACCAGTGCTGGGGGGCCTCCGGGGACCCCTGCCGTCGGTCCACCAGACACAGAAGATGAATCCGGGAGGTAGCCATGAGGCAGAGTGTCTGTGCTGGAACCGCTCTCCGATACTTCCTCCTGAGGGGCAGGAAACGCGCCACAGCTCAGGAGCAGGGCTGGGGTGGAGCAGGGCTCTCCAGACAGAGATCTCCACCTGAAGGACATGCTAAGCCAAGCCACCCACACTCTCAGCCACTTAGGGCCAGTGGGGAAAACATGCCAGTCACAGTCCACCAGAAAAGGCCCCAGGGCCCTTGGCTGTGATCAGGGGCTGCCCTGGAATAAGGAAAGAGCACTCTACACACCCGGCACCATAGCCAGAGAAAGCTATTTTCATTGGGTTTGGGCCAAACTCATTCCTTCTGATCCAACTCATCCTCAGCCTTCTCACCGCTATGTAGCTCTATCTCTCCTAGGAGGCCCACCCTGACCCCAAGGCCAAATTAGGACTTCTTCCACTCCAGCACTGCTGCTGTTCGTGTTCCCCATCCCTGGTCAGGCACTGGACAGCTGGTTGGTTTGTACTGTGGGCCCAATTCCTCAGCCCAGGGAGGCCTCCTCACACCGGAAGCCTGTAGGATGCATCCTGTACCGTAACATCCTGTATGCAGATGACGCTCTCCCCAACACCCTGGACCACACCTGTCTTGTCCCTGTTGTATCCCCAAAGTCACATAGTAGGACATAGTAGTACCACTATGCTGACTTCAGAAAACCTCTGGGCCCCAAAGTATAGCTTTATACTCCTACCAAGTGACATTCTGAATACCATTATTATCTTGCAAACAACAAAATTCAATGCTTACAGTGTGCTGGCCAGTCTTATTTGCTTTGCATACAATTAAACCATTTAACTCTCACAAAAATTCTAGAGGCAAGTATATTTGTCATTCCTCTTTTCAGATGAGGAGCCTGACCAAGACTGCAGACCCACAAAGCAGCCAGGCCAGGAAGCAATGGATGGTGTGCAAGTGAATGTCAAGTGGGGGCTCAGAGCCCAGCACCCATGGAAGCAGGCCTGCCTGCCCAATTTACAGACATGAAGACTAAGGCTCAAGGGGGACTTTTAGTAAATTCCAGACAGGACTGAGACTTGAAACAAGACACTGCCTTTCAAATCCTCAGGACATGGGCAGTGTAGTGGATCAGACCAAATCTAGATTTGAATTCTGCTGGTCAGCACAACGCGCCTTGGTTTCCTTTCCTGTATGATGTGGGAAAAAGTGGTAGGTGCCTTACAAGGTATGCAGCTTAACTGAGAAATCCTTGTCAGGGGTTTGGCCTGGTTCCTGGCTCAGAAATAACAAATATTAGCTAGAAGCAAGCCTTGCTGGCTGCTTCCCCTTGGCTGCAAGGCACCGTGCCCGGGGTCCCAATCTCCACCCGCACCATCCAGCCCAGTCCATACCAGAGAGTGGCTGCCACGGTCTGAGCTTTGCACCACTCCAGAGACATCGGCCTCCACCGGAACTGGGGCGGTCGCAGCGTCGCTGCTGTCGGCTGACACAGCTTCCGAGGTGCCCACACTCAGGCCACTCTCAGTAGGCTCCTCAGACCGAGGGGCTGCGTCGCTACTGCTTTCTACCTCGTTCTCCTCCATCGGCTCGGAGGAACGCCTGGCAGCAAGGTGCAGGGTCTGCAGCTTTCACTCTGTGAGAAGAGGTGATCAGGCCTGGAACATGTGGCCCACTTCCCTGACAACCAAAGCTCACCCAGCTGCACCCTTGAGCCCATTTTGCAGATGCAAAGACTGAGTCTTCGATAGGGAGGGACTTCCTCGTGCACTGAGAGGAGCTCCCGGAAGAGGTAGAGAGCCCTGCTTCCCAGACTAAGGGCTTCCCTGATGGGGTGGTCGCTGGCGGATAATCTTGACCCTTTTCGGGTCTGCCTTGCGTAGTTCGTGCTGTGGACCCCCTCTGGGCACAGTGGTTCAGCCTTTCGGCCCCTGAGTACCCCCAGGTGAAGGGACAGTGGTACAGCCCACAGGCGCCCCCCCAATTCCCCGGTCACCGGTTCGCTCCCCCCTCCCCTGCTCCCCTGCGGAGGGGGCTGACTGCGACGGTCTCGGGGCCTGGTGACTCGGGGCTGTCCCCGGCGCTGCCTGCGCTCCAGGCCCGACGCCATCTTGTGGTGGCGCCGTGTTTCCGCTCAGGCAAGTGCGAGAGCGACTAAAGGGCCTGGGACCCCGGGGCCCTTTTCGGACAGCCCCGCCGGCCTGGGACGTCGCCGCCGGGTACCCCCGCACTGGGGCTCTACTCCATGGCACCGTGCAGGGCGGCAACCTGATTCTATCCGATGCTTACCTGAGGCTTTCTTTGCCGCGTTTCTCTCTGACTCCGGCATCGACGAGGTCGCCATCCTCTTTTCCCCGCTGCGGAGGGACCTATCGGCCTACTGTAGTCCGGAACTACTTCCTCCGCCTCCCCAGGGAAAGAAAGATTTCTAGTGCTCCGGAAGGGCTCTTCGAGACTTCAAAATCATAATCCTGTCAGGATCAATCCTACAATTCTATATGTTACCTAATATAGATAATGGGACCCGCCGGGGTTTGGGGACTACTTTCTTTCTTGGCGGATGGCTACATAGGAAGTAGTTATGACGTCACTACAGGTGCCTTCTCGGGCCGCAGGGTGGGGCGCGGCAAAGTCCGGCTCCATTCTCCAGGGGCGTGGCTTCTGACAGTCTGGCCACGCCCCTCGAGTGGCCGCTGAGAAAAACCTCAGGTTGCGGAAGGTTAAACTCTTGGCGAAGGAGGAAAAATATTGTCAAATATTTTTCCTGGCTTTTTAACGGATTCTTGGACGCTCTCTTCGAGCCGGATCGAATCCTCCTCTCTTAGGTTTGATGTTTCCTAGCGGTGTGGGTCATGTAATTCTTGTACAAATGAGAAAACAGGCTTGAACACTAGAAAGGCTGGTTCAAAACCATGTGAGAGTCGGGGAATTGGAGCGGAGTTAATGCCCGCTCTGGGTGAGCTTACATATATTTGTTATATTAATAGGCTGCAGGTCAAGACATCCACCTTTGTCTTGTACTCACTGTAGATAGTGGTGTAATTAAAAGTCTGCAGGCCTTCAGAAAAAAACATGACCCCTCTCATGACTGAGCCAAATGTCATCTGTTGAAGCCTTTTTTTTTTTTTAAATCATTTTACGGTGGAAGAACGTTGGAGACAGTAGCTCTGGTTTTGTGCCTAACTACGTTACATAAGCTATTTCAATCTCTGGGGAAAAGAAGTTCAGAAAATTCTGGAGAAAACCTATTGAAAAGGGTAAAGTGTACTCTGAGTTATTTTCATGTACAAGTGAGTTTGAGGGGCTTCTTTGGTCCTTTTCTAGATAAGTTTTTCCTTTCCTAGGAAACAGCAAGAACCCTCTGCCCTCCCAGCCAGACCGGCCTTCAAAGCAACCCTGAATTCCTGCATCAGTGGTGAATGGCCTGGTGGCAGGTTGGTTTTGCACTCCGGAGGCAGTTTTCCAATGTGGACCCCATTCCTCAGTCCCTTACTCCACCCCACTCTACCCCACGCCAGGCCTGTAGGATACCACCGGTCTCTGACCAAATCACCACTCTGAAGACAGTCCGAGGGAGTGGCCGCACTGCAGACTTCCCTGGGCCAATTGAGATCTAACTCCAACCATGGCCTTTGCCACCAGATCACAGTATTGCAAAATGTTATGTAGAGGGTAACAAAGGCGAAGGCCAAAGACAGAGTGCATGGCCAAGATCTCATGGTTCCTTGGAAAGAGCGTTAGCAGAATCTTTCAATTCCAAACCAGGTGTGGTAGTGTATACGTGTAATCCCACTCCAGTCCTCCGGAGACTGGAGGCTGAGGCAGACAAATCATGGGGAGTTCACGGCCACTTCATATTACTTCCTGAGCTCAAGGTGTTTTCTGATTTGTTATTTCAGGGTTCTTCCCAGTTGATCATTGGAAAAAATTCTGGAAGCAGTGAAGGAATGGGTGCTGGGTCAGAAAGATGCTAATGTGGACACTGAGAGGAGCCCAGGGGAAAGAGGATGTGCACCAGGCAGTGTGTGTGTGTGCTTCGCTGCATCTTGTTATCCATCTTCTTCATAGAGAGGGAGAAAGGGAGGCTCAGAGGTTTGTCCAGGGTTATACAGCCCAGAGTGTGGAGCAGGGATTTGAGTCCATGTGCGTCTGATTCCAAAGCTACATGGAATTCAGTACTGTGTGAAGTATATTTAGTAATCCTAACACTTAAAAATGTTCCGTGGCAGCCACTGTCGTAAGCACGTAATGTACATGAATTTATTAAACACAACTGCCAGGTGAGGTAGTTGACCTCATTTTACATTTGAAGAATCAGGCACACAACAGTAAAGGAATGTACCTAAATAAAGAATGGACCTGGGGTTGAAAACCAAGCAATCTGACCCTAGACTCCATAATTTTAGATTGCTGTGCCATTTCTCATGTACAATAAATACTTTTTTAAAATTAAGTTTGTTAAAAAAATAAATAAAAAATAAAATTAAGTTTGTTGGTATAATTTAGGTATACGTAATGATCATATTCAACGTAGGACATTGGTACCTGTATATGATATGTGATATATATATATATATATATATATATATATATATTCTTTCTTTGTTCTTTTTGAAGACAGAGTTTCACTGTATAGTACAGGCTGGTCTCAGACTCACTGTGTAGCCCAGGGTGGCCTCAAACTTGCATCAATTTTGCCTCAGCCTCCCAAATGCTGGGATCACAGGCATGGCCACCATGATTTTTTTTTTCAATACCTGATTTTTTTTATTTTAAAGGGGTTAAAATCAAGCACAACAAAACAGAACAAAACAGGACATAAGAAAGCAATGTAAGAGATGTAAATTTCAAAGCTAGATGACCTGAGATCTTCACTGTCTATCATATTGTCTGTTTTCTTCCAAATAGTTGTCCATCTCTTTGCATACAGAGAATTCATACAAAACAACATAGTATAAAACTGGTCCGAACTGAATGAGGAAGGTGTTTTAGGTCCTTAAAACTAGACAGTAGAGAAGTCACTAATGGCTGTTGTGGAGTCTCTTGTTCTCTTCAAAATAACTGTCCATACCCTCATGTATATTGAAATTCACGGACACAAAACAGGCAAGGAGGGAGGGGTTGCTTGATTTTCTGGTGCTCCGGGTCCCAGCATGGCGCGAGTCCCAGTAAACCCCAGTAGCTCCTGTCCTGTGCCACTGGAGCCTCCACGCTCACAGCTGCTCATGGGGTAGCAGGGGTTTACTTGATTTCCCAGGGCTCCAGGTCTCAGCATGGCATGGGTCCCATAAACACTGGAGGCTGCTGTCCTGGGCAGCCACAGCCTGCCACGATCACAGCTGCTCACCACAGGTGGAGGGGTTGCTTCAAGCTGTTTGTTTCTAATGAATTGACCATTTCACTGCCCAAGTTCTGAAATGGTCAACAGACCATAGAAAGACATCTCTTTAGGCTCCTGCTTCAAACCAACAGCGTCAGGAAGCTGCTGGCCTTGATTCAGGGCCAGCAATACTTGATTGTTAAAGGATAGTTTTGCATTCCATAGCCTCCTCCCACCCCTTTAGGAATGGAGATTGAAATCAGGCCTTTATGTGAGCTAACTCTATAGACTTTATTTTTTTGAGACACCATCTTTCTTTTTTTTTTGTTTTGTTTTTGGTACTGGGGGTCAAACTCACTACTGTGTGCTTGCAGGGCAGGCAATTATGCCACTGAGCTAAATTATATATATATATATATATATATATATATATATATTTTTTTTTTTTTTTTTTTTTTTTTTTTCCTAAATCACTCGCAGGACTCAAATTTGCAGTCCTTCTGTCTCAGCTTCACACAGTGCTGGGAATACAGACATGTATCGCTTGGCCTTTCTCAGTTTTCAGAGGAGGAAACTGAATCCCTGAGAGGAAGCAACTTACTCAAGATCACCATAAGAAAGTGGGTCCAGGCCAGATCTCTTATAGTAGTTAATAACCATGCAGCACATTTTGACTGAACACTTATGAAATACTAAGTGAACTGAGGACCCGGCACTTAAGCCACTGAGCTCAGCAATCCCCTGGCCTGTATGCTTGTTTTTTTCTATTGTGTTTTTTTTTGAGACAGGGTCTCACTATGCAGTTCAGGCTGGCTTTGGACTCACTTTGTAGCTGAGGCTGGTCTGGAGTTTGTGAGCCTGCACCAGTCCTCTTGCCTCAGCCTCCTCAGTGCTGGGATTACAGGTGTGAGCCTCTACACCCTCCTGCTTTATTTGTTTTTTGAGAGTAAGCTTTCCTATGTAAATTCAGGGAGACTCTGAATTCACTATGTAAACTAGGTGGCCTTGAACTTGCACCAGTCAGCCTCCCAGGTGCTGTAATTGCAGGCATCTGCCCCCCCCCCCCAGCTTTTGTGTGCTTCAATAACAACAACCAGATATACTTAGTATTAGTGCTCTTAGTATTCTCATGTCACTAATGAGGAAACTGAGGCTCAAGAGCAGCAAAGTGACTTGTCCAGGGTCATGCACTTGATGGTAACCCCTGCTGGGATTGAAGCCTGAGTTTTCTGACTCCTGAATCAGTGCTCCTTCCATTGCCCCCAGGAAGGCAGCAGAGTTGAGATACATGGTAAGCAGGTGGGTTCTCTCTGGCTCTTCTCTACCTTCTCTCTCTGGGCCACTGCTTTCTATAGGTTTAGCTAAAACTATTTTTTAGTTTTGCTATGTGTTCAGGCTGACCTGGAACTCACTTTGTAGCCCAGGCTGGCTTGAACTCAGCAATCCTCCTGCATCAGCCTCCTGAGTGCTGGGATTATAGGCGTGTGCCACCAACACTGGTTGCTAAACCTGTTTTGAAAAACCTGTTTATAATTTAAAACTGTATCACCACTGGAAATAATAAGTCCCATACATTGACCCCTATGGTATAAATTAAATTTGTCCTACATCTTTCAGAGATGGAGCAAGGTAGGATGGTCACAAAAGACCCTAGGACCGGAACACTTGTGTTCAGAAAACAAGCTGAAGTCTAAATATTGTTTGCCTGTTTGTACATAATTGTAATGCCTGACACTAGGCATTAGGCAACATGTAATGCAAACATCTCTTCTGATCATACAAAGTGAGGGTAGATAGGGACTAGATTAGTTTGCTGCTGAGGCAGGGTATTACTTTGTAGTTTAGCCAGGCCTTGAATGTACTTTGTAGTCCAGGTTGGCCTTGAGCTCATGGCTACCTTCCTGCCTCAGCTTCCCAAATGCTGAGATTGTAGGCATGTGCCACCACGCCTGGTGGGAAAAGAGATTTTTGTCGCTTCACTGTTTCCTGTGGTATCTCCAACACTTAGCACAGTTTTGCTGACCAAGGTAGATAACAGATCCCTATAATAAGGATGACTGATAATTTTGACTATAAGCTCAGCGCTTTTTGATATGTCGCTTTGCCCCAGGTACTACAGAGAATGTGTGTCCTATGCCAGCCCAACTGTGTCCCTGAGACATTCTATACAGGTTAAGGGGCCATTTTGGAAACAAAGGCAGGGACTTCTGGGCTGTGAGCACTTGCACAGGAGGAGACGTGTGCCAAGTGCTAAACACAGTTTATTGCAATGCGCCCTCACGCCCAGTTTAAAGGTGACAAAGAATTCCAGGAGGTAGGGAAACACCCAAGGTTACAGACATGAAGATGCACAGCTGCCTGGGGATTTAGCTCAGTGGCATAAACACCTGCCTGGTAAGTACAAGGTCATGATTTCAATCCCAAGTACAAAAAAAAAAAAAAGTAATTATGAAGATGCACAGCTGGATTTGAACTCTGGGTTGTCTGTCTCCAACCCCTGTTCTTCCCATTCTACCAGCTTCCACCTGCAGGCCGAGCTGAGCCCTGGGAATCAGTGCTGAGGCCAGACTCCAGTTGAGTGACAGCTCAAAACCAGGACTTTGACAGCTATGCCGAGGCTGGCCTGAAAGCAAGTGATGCTAAACTCGTTTGCCTGGGAAGATGAGCAACAATCACAAAGACAAGAGGCGGCCAGGAGCTGCAGGAAGGTGCTGAGGAGGTGCTGGGCCCTAAACAGAATGTCCTTGGGCTCTGCCCGCAACCAAGAGCTCCCTACTTAACTTACTCTGCGACCTTGAGCAAGTCACTCAACCATCTCAGTTCAGTGTCCTCATTTGTCACACAGGTCACCCACCCTGCTGGGTTGTCATGGTATTGCATGAGACAATGCAGGGAGACAGAACTGGGTCAAGTCCAGGCCAGAGCACAAGTACTAATTAGTTGTATGACCTAAGGCAAGTCATTTCACTTCTCTGAGCCTTAGTATCCCGAGCTATGTAACAGAGGTGGTACGTATTTCACCCGGTCTCTGTGAAGATACAGTGATTAAAATACAGCCCCTGGAGTACATTTTCTTGGGTTCAAATTTGGCTCCACCGCCTTCAGTGCTTGGCCTGTCTGCCTCCATTTCCTCTGCTGTAGAGTAGAGGTGAACATAAGTGGATTCATTTCATGGAGTTGTGATGTTGAAGGACATAATCAGTAGAAAGAGTGCAGACCAGAAGCTGGTACTAGTAAGCCTTTGGCCACTGAGAACTCATTAGCCCTGAGTCTGGCATCTGATGTTAACTGTGCTGCACGCTGGGTGCCGCTTTAAACACTTTACCCTTAATCCTCGGGGCAACCCTCCGAGAGAGGTGATGAACTGAACTATTCAGGGGTCCAGTATCTTGCCAAAGATTTCACAGTGCACAGGACACAGACCAGAATTTGAGTCCTGCAGCCTCTCGGTTGCTCCTTCATCCCTAATAAAGGCTCTATAAATGGGAGCTATTAGAATGTCTGTGGAATTTTTTTTTGACCCAGAAGAGATGACACTTAATTAGTGCCCAAGTGAAGCAGGCCTTACAGGAGCCCCAAAGGCTGAGTTCCCTTAGCCGGGTGAAGGGATGTGGACACGGGTTTGCTTAGCTTGTACTGGCTTCCAGCAGGGGGCAGCCGCTGCCTCCGGCCTCTTCCCCGACCAGAATCAGGTGACTGAGCTGCAGACAGGCAGGGGGCGGTCAGGTTCCCACCTTGGGGACCATGTGGAGGGGCACAGAGCCTGGCAGTAGCAGCTTATTCGAAGGCTCCTCTCCCCCAGTTCCCCAGACTGGCCTGCAGGGCTGCTTCACAGAGACCTTTCAAAAGAGACTGCCGCCCAGCCTTATCTAGCACTTCTCTGTTATCAGCATCTTTTGGGTACTGGCCAAGAGTCTAAAACTTTAAAAACTTTAAGAAAGTTCTGGATGGAAGTAAAAATCAATAAACCAGCTAAAGATAGTAACAGTGCTCAGAAATGTATAGGTGAGGGTTGGGGTGTAGCTCAGTGATACAGCACTTAACCTAGAGAAGCAAAGCCCTGGGGTTCATCCTTGGCCTGGAAAAAAAGGAAGGAAAAAAGTTGAAAAAAATGTTACCCTAGGCAGGAAAGCAAGGTGCCAAGGCAAGGATGGACACGGAAGACCAACCTTGCTCCTGTCCTCCCCAGCCCCGTTTCAGCTT